GAGAATATCGATTTGGAGAATTCTGTTTTTGGGTTCGTGGTTCTCAAACCTTAAAATTTGGGGACTAAAAGAACAATATAAGTAAAGGGCAATAGTTTTTTTTCACATGTAGTAAACTAACGTAGTGTTAACAATTAAACGCCATTTTACTGTTTCCGTTTAACGATTAAACATCGTTAAAATTTTGGTGGCAAACTCATCGATTTTGAATTTCTGTATATTAATCTAGCACTTCAAAATAGATTGGGTTTTTTTTGGGGAGTCTAAATAGTTCATGTATTTTTTTTAGCAAATGTTATATACTTTGGGATATTTTTAAGGGTTGATCACATTGTAAACTTACCTTTTGAAGTTTTGATTAAACACGACCGACCTCAACCTCAAGGCCCAAAGCAAAGCGCATTGAGACGGTTCGACACAGGGGTAAGATTGTAATTTTACACATTTTATGTTAAACCCTAACTTTTTCTCCTCGCTTCACCACTATATAAAGGAGTCGTATTCCTCTCTGCGTTAATCCCAAGATCACTCTTTTTTTAACCTAGCCGCTACACTCTCTTCTTCTTGCGATTTCTTTGAGGTACGCGATTTCATACGCGTCTATGATCTGTATGCTTACTCTTCGATCGATCTTCGTTGTAACGATTTAGATCCGTTCTCGTTTGCTTGTTATTGAAATTCTCTCTGATTTGATCATTCTTCACTTGTATCTCTTGGATTTGATGCTTTTTATTGATTGATCGTTTTTTATATATGATTTGTTCATGATAGCTGATGATAAGCTGTTATCTCGATCCATCTGATCGATCTGATTCTGAGATTTTCTTCTGCTGTGCAATTGCTGGATCTATCTGAGTGAATCGATTGTGTTGTTAATGATTTTAGTAGTTGATTTGTATTGTGGATTGGTAATTCGGGAGCAGCATAACAATTCCGGTGTTTCCTTCCTTATTGTTTTCAAGTCGTTTAAGCGATGGGATTGTTTGCTATAGATCTCTTGTAATTGCTTTGTTTGCTTGAATTAGCTCGCTTAGCTCAGAGGATAGAGCACCACAATCCTTCTTGTGGTAGAAATCGGTTCAAATCCGACAGCAGCTATTATGTTACATTGAATGTTTCGAGTTAGCTGATTATTTCATATAGTATTATTTTGTCTCTACTGTTTTGATCGTTTCAATATGGTTGGTTTATCATCTGCAGATTCACTTGACAAGCAGCTATGGGTAAAGAGAAGTTTCACATCAACATAGTGGTCATTGGCCACGTCGATTCTGGTAAATCAACCACCACTGGACACTTGATCTACAAGCTCGGAGGTATTGACAAGCGTGTGATTGAGAGGTTCGAGAAGGAGGCTGCTGAGATGAACAAGAGGTCGTTCAAGTACGCATGGGTGTTRGACAAACTTAAGGCTGAGCGTGAACGTGGTATCACCATTGACATTGCTCTCTGGAAGTTCGAGACCACCAAGTACTACTGCACAGTCATTGATGCTCCTGGTCATCGTGATTTCATCAAGAACATGATCACTGGTACCTCCCAGGCCGATTGTGCTGTCCTCATCATTGACTCCACCACTGGTGGTTTTGAGGCTGGTATCTCTAAGGATGGACAGACCAGGGAGCACGCTCTTCTTGCTTTCACCCTTGGTGTCAAGCAGATGATCTGTTGCTGTAACAAGGTGAACTACCTTCCCAGTTATTGCTTTTCTTCCGTTTGTGATTCTGTATCTTTTGTTGATGCTAATATTTGGTTCTCTGTTTGTTACTTGTTACAGATGGACGCCACTACCCCCAAATACTCCAAGGGAAGGTACGAGGAAATTGTTAAGGAGGTGTCTTCCTACCTGAAGAAGGTTGGATACAACCCTGACAAAATCCCGTTTGTCCCCATCTCTGGGTTTGAGGGTGACAACATGATTGAGAGGTCCACCAACCTTGACTGGTACAARGGACCAACCCTCCTTGAGGCTCTTGATGCCATCAACGAGCCCAAGAGGCCATCAGACAAGCCCCTCCGTCTACCTCTTCAGGATGTCTACAAGATAGGTGGTATTGGAACGGTGCCAGTGGGTCGTGTTGAGACCGGTATGCTCAAGCCCGGTATGGTTGTGACCTTTGCTCCTTCAGGGTTGACCACTGAGGTCAAGTCTGTTGAGATGCACCACGAGTCCCTTGTGGAGGCACTTCCAGGTGACAATGTCGGTTTCAATGTGAAGAATGTTGCTGTGAAGGATCTCAAGCGTGGGTATGTTGCATCCAACTCAAAGGATGACCCTGCCAAGGGAGCAGCCAACTTCACCTCCCAGGTCATCATCATGAACCATCCTGGTCAGATTGGAAACGGTTACGCCCCGGTTCTCGATTGCCACACCTCCCATATTGCAGTCAAGTTCACTGAGATCTTGACCAAGATTGACAGGCGTTCTGGTAAGGAGATTGAGAAAGAGCCCAAATTCTTGAAGAATGGTGATGCTGGTATGGTGAAGATGACTCCGACCAAGCCTATGGTTGTGGAGACATTCATGGAGTACCCACCACTTGGTCGTTTCGCTGTGAGGGACATGAGGCAGACTGTTGCAGTGGGTGTCATCAAGAGCGTGGACAAGAAGGACCCAACCGGAGCCAAGGTGACCAAGGCTGCCGTCAAGAAGGGTGCCAAGTGAACTACTACTATCAGCACCAAAAGTCTATCCGCAGTTGAATCAAAGGACAATTCTAGTTTTTTCATTTTAGTTTGGTATTTGGTCGCTTGTTTGTGTTGTAGCTCTCCATCAGAACCTAATTCTCGTAACTGGGTCCTTGATCGGAGGTGGCGGAGCTATGACATGCTCAAGCTTCCTGTTTATTGCTTTTCTTATGTTTTCTGATTCTGAACCTTTTTTTGGAGATTTTGTTATATCAATATCGTCATATTCCTGCGGAATAATATCTTCAGTCTGTCTTAATTTTTCTGTCTTATGAAATTTCTCTCTCGTTCTTATAATCATCGTAATTTACTGCAGCCATCAATGATTACGACTTATGAGTATATAAATCTAAAACCCCATAACACTTGTGAGCACAGATTTGTATTTTCTTATATGGTAGTGTTATGGTCCAGACAGAAATAAAGCTTGCATTTACGACATTTTTATTTTTTCTCTTTAAAGAAGTGTTACACATTGGCCGGTCTTGTTCCCTATACGCACAACAAGAGCGAAGAGCGAGTCTGTTTTCATATTCAAGCAAATGGCTCGGTTGAAACTCTGTAAACACAACGATATTGACAAGTATGAAGACCACATAAATAATGTTGTTTACCATTCAGTCTTTTTTTATTTGTTTTTTACTCCGTGCAGCAATTACAATAATGTTTTCTCAATTTTGATTTTGGCTTGTTTTGCTAGTATTATAACTTCGGTTTGTAAGAAAAAATGTAGCCAAATTAGAATACGAAAGAAATATATTCTATAATCCCGACAACTCTTACAAACTCGAACTTGTAAAGAAGAAAAATGTATACATTCTAGAAGTAAAATATGTGCAATCTCATTAGGGATTTATTAGGGAAGGTCAAGATTGGTTAAATGGAACCAATTAACCAGGACAGGTCACAAATTCCCAATGGTTCAGCTCGGTTCCAACCGGTTTTCATTTCAGACTGCATCTGTCATGGCTTTTTCCCATTCCTCCAACGCGACCTCTCCTTTTAGTTTCTCAGGAACACAATCTGCGTTCAAGATTTTACACGTTACATTAAACTACAGTTACCGCAAGGTATTCAGAAAACAAAGACTTCAAAGGATATCAAGTACCTGCAAGGAACTCGTACCGCTCCTCGTTACTCACTACAGATGCTGCCAAAGAGGGTGAAAAACGGTGAAAGATTTCAATTGATCATCTATTGTGTTAGTACTGATTGTTTTGCAACCAATCTTGCAAGTGATAAGAACGGATTAACCCATCAAGACTAGCACTTGGGCAGAAAACCCATGCCTCAAAATTAACGGTGCATTAGCATGAGAATTTGGCATGTTGAACATGGAATTCGTAATTGCATCTGCATCAATTCAGATCTAAGATATAGGAAAACAGGGACGAGATTTTAGCTTACAGAGGTGCTTGTAGTGGATGAATTTCTTTTTGTCCAGGACGGAACTTTCATATGCTTCTTCAGAAAACCGCTCAATGAACATTTCCTTTACAAAAACCAGTTAATATACTGTCAATGCCATGATCATCGAGTCTAAATAGCACAACATGAATTCAAAAGGACTAAAAACAATGCTGAGTGAGTTCCAATCCAGAAACAAAAAGTCTCTCCTCCATGCGCCAAAGCAAACAAGATAAATGTATGCTTTTAAACTCGTTAAAGCTTTGATTCCAACTTTCTATCATTCAGAATAAAATATAATCAATTTTTGATAAACTAGATACCAGACATCCAGTAAACAGTGAAATCCAAAGCACTATCTTTACTTATTCAGCTTCGAAAAATATGAGCCTAAATCATATTACGCAGAATCTCGTCCAAGGGATATAAGGACTTTCTTAAATGTTTGGGATCTATAAGTTCTGGATGTCAGAAGTGCAACTCCACACAAGATAAAAGCTAAACATATGACAATCAAGCAGTGACTGCGGTTCCATATGAACAAATGTATGAAGCGAAGCAAGTTACATTAACTCTCAGCTAAATTAGCAGATGCAACGCCATTATGCAGCAATTTAGCAGAAGAAAACTAAATCATCATGGCAATTTGCGAGACTATAATGGCCAATTCACACTGTTTAGCAACTGATACTCACAAATTCATCAAAACTTTGGTGGTTGAATCAAGCTCCTCAAACTAAGCATCTCCTAAACTAATTAGATAGCTATACAGATATGTCAAAACATCATACCGTGGCTTTGTTGACAAGAAAAACAGCGTCCTGCATAATCTGAGGAGCAGAATTATCGGTTCTCATGATCCGTCGAATCCGATTCATCGGAAACCTAAACGTTTTAGCGTCTTCAACGCCTCCGGTTACATCACCGCCATCGTCCTCTTCCCCATTTTTCCTCCTCTTCGCCGGAATCGCGACTCCCTTACCGTTACGTCCCTTGCTCACGACGACGCCGTTACTTTTCTCCGGCATATCGCATCTTGGTTCTTCCACAGAGTCGCTGCTCGAAGATTCCGAGATCTCGTAAACCTCTGGCTCCTTCTTCACATTGCCACCGGAGTTCACCTTATTCAGCGTCTTCTTCTTCGTGTTGGCACCGGAGCTGCGTTTACTCCGACCACCGGTGTTATTGACGCCATCGCTCCTCGGCTGCTTCTCCTTGCTCGATTTCCTCGACGACACCATTGTTTAGACAGCAAACTATGTTTCACCCTTTTTGCCAGGATTAAAGCCAATTGAAAGTGATGGATTCTTACATGGGCTTATAATTTGTGCCTGATAAGCCCATATAATCATGACAAGTTAAATATTAAAGGCCCACTTCTGAATCATGACCAGTTAGATACTATAGGCCCAGAAGATTTGGACGAGGAGGTTATGTGCTGTTTTATAGTTTATCTAGTTACATAGCTCAATGTTCTTGTCTTCTTGACATTATATATGTGTAACATTGTTAAAAAACGTTATCTTGTTTCCGACATAATCTATGAATATTGTTGGGATTAGATAAGAAAGGATGGTGTAATGTTGGACGTATGAGTCAGAAGAGGTGTACACAAACTGAAACCACCACGTGTGATTAACGACACGTGTTGGTCTCTAACTAACTCTCTCTGTAATATCAGACGTGGCTGGTTCGTGTCTTCAGTCTCCAATTCCTCTCTTAAATATAAAAGAAGAGGAAACGAGTTTGGCTTTGCATTCACTATCTTGTCTATTTACTCCGACACAACCAAAGCTCTCTGTGTAAACGGTGTCGTGTTTGATATATCATCAATATCAATGGCTATTGTAGAAGAACCAATCCTTTCAAGATTGGATCGTATTGATTTCATGGTGAGGAAGATAGAGGAAATGAAAGGAAGCTCACCGAGAAGCTCGAGCCCATCGACTCCATCGAGTGGGACTCAACCATCTTCACTAGACTTGTCTTCACCGAGAAGCATAGGGAAAGTCCAGTGCCGTTCGATGAAGCAAGTAATGGAAGAAACTGAACGTAAAGGAACTTTGTTAGAGAGACTTAACAATGTAGAGGAGCAAGTTCTTAAGCTTTGTTCACAGTTTGAGGAAGAAGTTGAACAAGAGAGGAAGAGAGAAGATAAGTCTTCGTCCACGG